AAGATTAGGTGGCTCACTCTAAGTAACATCATGTACCTGGCAGGGATTTCTATAAAATCATAAGATGTCAGAGACCATGCTTAAGAAATATTTTTACTTTGAAACACTTTAGGCAAACAGTGAAAAAGAACCCACCACACTATCCTGTTAAAATCTTAACATCCTGATGCCTCTGCATCAATTTTTAGAAAGAAAGAAAGAAAACACAACTGAAGCCCCCATGTACCCTCCCCAAATCCATCAGGTCTCCTGCCTTAGGAAGGCAGAATGGTGACTTGCACACATCATTCCAATACATGATTTCATTTCATATTATTTGAATCCACAGAAAATAGATTACTGTGCAAAACAATAACACTTTCTATATGTCCACAATGCTTACATGCTAGACACTATTCTAAGCATTTTACATGCATTACTTCATTGACCACCCCCCACCCACAATCACCCTGTGAGATTGCCACTACGACCCCATTTTATAGAAAAGGTGAAAAACAAGTTGAAGTAACGTGCCCACAGATACACAGTATGCTTAACTTTACACAAACAGTACCTTGTATGTAGCTTCACCAACTTTCTCAGCATAATTTTTCATCTATCTGTGTTGAGACGTAACTCTTTCATATTCACTTTCCAAGGACCAAAAACAACCCATTTATTTATCCACTCTTCTGCTGATGAAATGCAGGCTTTTCCCAATCTTGCTACCTAAACAATACTTCAGTGAAGTCTTCAACTCATTTCTCTGTTCACATGGCACTTCTCTAGGATGCATCCAGGAGTAGAGTTGCTGGGTGGGTAAGTGCACACAACCTTCCAAGATTTTGCAAATTGCCTGGCACAGTATTTCTCACAATTTCCACTCCTAAAGCAGTATGAATTATCATTGTTCCACACACTTACCCACACTTGGGTTTTCAAAAATGTGCCAGCTTGATGAGTGTGAGATGGTATTATTTCACATTTCGGACAGTCTTGGTCAGCAGGGATGGGGCAGACCACACTGAACAGGTGACAGAAAGACCTTCAAATACCCACTCCCGCCATCTGGCACTCCTGACCCCAACTTCAGCTCCTCCAAGGGAGTGGGGGAAAGGGGGGTACGGTTGGAAGGAACCTGAATGTTCTCCAGGCCAGGATGAGATGTAAGATGAGACCCGGTGCTTAGGGCAATCGGAAACTGTCAACTGAAGCCAAACAGCTCAGAACCACCCACAACCGGGTTCCTAACCAGCAGGTGTGTGTTTGTGGGTGGCTTCCAGTCAACATTTCACCCCACAGCCCCTTAAAAAAAACCCCAACCCTGACTTAGCCAAACCAACTTCAGTTCCAGACTCCTTAACAGAGGTAATTTTGTGCAAGATCTTTTGTGCATGGCAAACAGATAAATAAGCACCCAACCCTGGCTTCCAGAGTGCTTGGTCTGGCTATGGTGACGGGCATAACCAAAAACACAAACATCACCTGACACAGGCACCAAGAGAGGTGGGGCCAGGGGTTTAGAGGCACAAGGGTCAGACAAAGTCAGGCCTTGAAGAATGAAGAGCTGAACTGGCACAGACGGGTGTGGCACTCCAGGTGAAGGGAGGCAGCACAAGGCAGAACACTCTGGGGGGATGGGGTGGGGAAGGGACAGGAAAGCCAACTCCAACACTGATTCTGCCAAAATCTTTTGTAGTCAGCACCAAGCAGTCAGGCTTCTACTTTTTTTCCTTTCAGCTAATCTGAATTTATTAATATTTATATAATTATAGTACTTACAGAACTAAAATTATTTGAAAACTCAGGTTATTGGACAAATGGGATCAGCATAATCCCAAATATAAACAGCTTACTTCAGGATAAAGTAATTTCTGTTTTTTGGCCAGGCACGGTGGCTCACACCTGTAATGCCAGCATTTTGGGAGGCCGAGGTGAGTGGATCACGTCAGGAGATTGAGACTATCCTGGAGATCGAGACCATCCTGACTAACACAGCGAAACCCCGTCTCTACTAAAAATACAAAAAATTAGCCGGGTGTGGTGGTGGGTGCTTGTAGTCCCAGCTACTGAGGAGGCTGAGGCAGGAGAATGGTGTGAACCCGGGTGGCGGAGCTTGCAGTAAGCCAAGATCCCGCCACTGCACTCCAGCTTGGGCAACAGAGCGAGATTCCGTCTCAAAAAAAAAAAAAAAATCTGTTTTTCACTTCATTCTTCGCACATTTTAACACTTTATTAGAATGTTTAAAAATAAGCACATTTCATTCTATAAAAATGACAGGTCAGGCACAGTGGCTCATGCCTGTAATCCCAGCACTTTGGGAGGCAGAGGTGGGTGGATTGCTTGAGCCCAGGAGTTTGAGACCAGCCTGAGCAACATAGGAAAAAAATAAATAAATAAAACTTTTGTCTCTACAAAAAAATATAAAAAATTAGCTGGCATGGTGGCACGCACCTGTAGTCCCAGCTACTGGGGAGGCTCAGGTGGGACCTGGGCCTGGGAGGTCAAGGTTGCAGTGAGCTGTGATCCTGCCACTGCACTCCATCCTGGACAACCCTGTTTCAAAAAAAAAAAAACAAAAACAAAAACTAAAAATATCCCCATACTGGGGCAGGAACTTTACAAGATGTCCTGTGGCAAAGGGAGCAGAGATGGGGGAAAAGGGGTGCTAAAAATGTGATCAGAAAGGGACATTTCCGAGGTTATAACACCAACTGACATGGGAGCTGCACCTCTGAGAAGGCCCTGGTCCTAGAGGTCAACCACCTGATGGAGAGCCTTGGTAAACCAAGCCCTCTTTCGCCAATCTCAGGAGTCAGGTAGCACAGCAAAGCACTCTAACTTCACACATAAGGAAATCGATGCAGAGGTTCACTGACTTGCTCAAGATCATTCCTGCCAAGAAAAGGCACACCATGCCTGGAACCCAGATCTGATGACTCCAAGACCCTTCCTATCACTCTGGTCCCTGCCCAGCCACTTCTAGTGCCATTTTTGGGACAGTGAAGGGACATCTTCACTGCCATGAACAGCTGCTGCCATAGGAAGGCAAGAGATGGTGGAACAAAGATGACCAAACCTTCCTGAGGACAAAGCTGAACAGGCATCAGAACACCAACAGGAAACTTCTGTCCCGGCCCCACCATCCCGTGACACCACCACACAGTATCAGAGCCTTCATTTTCACCTGCTCATGGCAATCCAGAGCAGGTAAGATTATTCCATACTGTACTGAAAAAGACATCTTCCAGGTTGGTTTCTTCTCATTTCAAGAAATGATCAGCTCCGTGAGTGGGCCGCTACAGTCGGGGACACTGCTCTACTAAGACATTTTATCCTTTCATTTACAATCTGACCTCTTCAATAATTAGAAGCAATGATTGCTCACAGGCTTTAGCAATAGCACTCCTTTGCCTTTAAGTAATTGATTCTTGCTTTTTGCTTCAACACAAGTGGGTGGGCCAGTGAAGGAGCTCCTTCCAGAACAGGTCGTCTTTTCTCCTGAGAGCAGCAGGCACATGCACTTGTTCCTTCGGGTTGAATCTGATTGCTAGCACCAGATCTCATACATGGAGAGGGGTATGTGAAGGTGAGAGGGGTATGTGAAGGTGAGAGGGGCCTGCAGTATGCAGGGGCTAGAGACGTGAACACAACAATGGTAGGCATTTACATCTGCTGAGGCCGAGGATCCTATAGAAAATTCAGAAACGGAGTGGGGAGGAGTCTGATTTATGGGAACTGGCAGCAAGGGTAACCACATGAGAAGCCTTTCACCCATTCCACTTTACTGAGTCCTTGGATCTGTGGTTAACTCTTATAAAATATAATTCAGATTCAAACCACATCACTCCTCAACTCAAAATTGTCCAAACGCTCCCTGCCTCCGAGGCAGCTCAAGCCCCCGTAATGACCCATGATGCTCACATGGCCTGGCCTATGGCCTCCCTGGCCCCTCTCCTCCCCTTCCAGCTGGCTCCCTGCACTCCATCCCAGGGGCTTCCTTGCTATCCTGAGGACACCAAACAAGACCCAATCTCCTCTGCCTGCAACTCTCCCTAGAGAGTTACCTGCTACCTCCCTGGCCTCCTTCAGGTCTTTGCTCAAATTTCACTTTCTCAGTTGAGGCCCTCCCTGATCAGACAATCTAAAATCACAATTGATCTCCCAATCCAGCACTTCCTCTCACTCTTCTCTGATTCACTTTGTCCACTACACACATCACCATCCAGAATACTGCATATCCCATTTGTTTGTCATCTGTAAAGATCCAAGATGGCAGGATTTTCATCCGTTCTGGTCCCTGCTAGGTCTCTGGCAAACAAACCAGTGCCTGGTGTATGGGAGTGCTCAGCACATTTCTGTTAAACAGATGGATGCTGCTGCCTATGTAGGCCAGTGGGATGGGGATGGCAACAGGGTACGGGTAGAGCTCCACAAGCCAAGCGCTTGAGTCCAGCATCCTGCTCTCCTCCACCTGCCGCTGAGACCTCTCTAACCCCCTAGCAGATATCCAAAAGCCAGCCAGGAAGACTGAAGCCCCAGCCAGAACTCCCCAGGGGGCATTTGGGAAGACAAGGCATTCTTGATGCTGCTGCTTTTAAAGTCAACAGAATAGGCATGGCCACAGGCCAAACTTGAAGATAAATCTAGGATCCCACTGGCCCCTTTCCAGCAGCCACAGCCCATGATGCCACAGATATTTTGTCCAATTGTAAAGGGCAGTCGTCTCTCTCCTCAGAGTTGTGGAAGGAGACCTGACCGGGCGAGCTGCAGAGGCCACTCCAAGGGGCCCAAGTCTCCAGAAGGGCTCCAAAGAACATGCTGCTGAGCTTCCCCAGCGTCACATCCCAGCAGGCAGGCTAGGGACTCCCCGAGCTTTTAAATCCTTGGGATTCTGTCACTAGCTTCCAAAATAGAAAGGGCTGGGCCCTTTGTGAAGGTTTCTCCACACTGCCTATAATTAAGGGTTCTCTAGCAGGGGACTGAGAACCCACCCCCACTGTCATTATCAGGTCCCAGGCTAATCTCTAATATGGTTTTTCATATGCCGAGCCAGGTTCGAAGACCACCTGAAGGTCTTCCCACACTTGGTGCATTTGAATGGCCTCTCTCGAGTATGAAATCTCTTGTGGCTAATGAGTTGTGAACTCTTGTTGAAAGTTTTCCCACATATACTGCATTTGTGGCACTTTTTCCCAATGGTTATGTCCTGGAGTCCAGTGAGCCTGGAGCTCTGGTTGCAAGTTTCTTTGCAGTCTTCGAGGGGCATCTCCTCACTTGGTTTTAGCTTCTGTAATCTCAACTTTGTGTCCTGAGAGGAAGACCGTGCAGGTGGGCTACGTTCAGCCTGTGCTGCTCTGGTGTGTTTCCTCTGGTGACTGGAAAGGGTATGTCTCCCAATGAACTCTTTCCCACACCACTGACATTTGAAAGGTCTCTCTGTAGAGTGGATCCTCTGATGGTTAACAAGGCGATAGTTTCTATCGTAAGATTTCCCACACAGATTACATTTATAGCGCTTCTCTCCACTGTGTATTCCCTTATGATCTAAAAGGGTTCTTTTACGTGTAAAGGTTTTCCCACATTCTTGACACCAAAAACGTTTCTCACCAGTGAGGATTTTCGGCTCCACATTTGGAGTCTTTTCACTTTCATGGCAATCATACTGTTTTTGAAGAGAGTGAATCCTCTGATGTCGGTAGAGATTGGAACTCCATCTGAAGGCTTTCCCACACTCCCTACACTTATACGGCTTCTCTCCAGTGTGAACTCTCTGATGGATGAGGAGGAAGGAGTGATTGCGGAAGGCCTTGCCACACTGGCTGCATTTGTAGGGCTCCTCTCTGGAGTGACTGCTCTGAGGAACCTGGAACACTCTGTCCTGACTAAAAGATGCCCCGCCCTCAGGTTTTCTTTTCATGGCATGCTTCTTCTTATGAACAATAAAGGCTGACCTATAGGCAAAGTCCTTCCCACAATCGCTACACTGGTATGGTTTCTCACCTGTGTGAATTCTCTGGTGGTCAACGAGAGTTTTCTTTCTAGTAAAAGTTTTCCCACACTGCTGACACAAAAATGTTTTCTCCACAGCGGGGGCACCCTGGGGCTGACTGCAGTCAGGAGACTGCCTGAAGCCCTCATGACATTCATCTTGTTTGTAGAATTTTTCCTCCTCATGCAACCTCATATGACGAGTAAAGTTTGATCTCCACCTAAAGGTTTTCCTGCATTTGGTACATTTATAGGGTTTCTCCTGGGTGTGAATCCTTTGATGTTCAAGAACATATGACTTACAGTGGAAGGACTTCCTGCACTGGCTGCAGTCAAAGAGTTTCTCTCCACTTTGGTCTCCCAAATGATGATCAAACCCTGAGCTGTAGGTGAGAGCTGCCCTATACTGATTCAATTCAAGAAATTTCTTCTTAGCATGGGTTTCTCGGTGCAGACGGTAGGCTGACAGACGTCGGAAAGCTTTCTCACATAAATCGCATTTATAGGGCTTCACTCCAGTGTGAATTTTCTCATGCCGTGCACAGTTGGAACTCCACCGGAAGGCTTTCCCACACACCCTACATTTAAATGCTTTCTCTTGAGTGTGAAGTCTCTGATGATATGCAAGATGGGAGCTATGACTGAAAGTCCTTCCACAGTCACTGCACTTAAATGACACTCCCACCGTGTGAAGACTCTGCCCGTGCTGGTGATGAGAGCTAAGGCTGAAGTCTTTTCCACACACGTCCTTTTTATTCCCTTTCAGTCCAGTATGAATTCTCTGATGTAGGCTGAAGCCGCCAATCATGTGTCTGAGCCCCTTCCCATATTTCTTGTAGTCATAGTGGTGTGAACTCATTCTGAAGTGTTTGCCACAGCCATGTTTAAGGGATTCCTTTCTTCCAGAAACTCTCAAATATGTAACATGTTTTAAGTCAAGACTATTACTTCCTGATACTTCAGAGTCTTTTCCTGTCCTGTGACTGAAATTGGTCTCTTCTTTTTTAACTGTTACTTGTATGGGGTTTTCACATTGATCCTTTTGCCTGCTCTTCTGTTGAAAAGATTCTCTGAGCCCAATTCCCTCAGAAACACTTGTCGCAGGACATCCTGATGACACAGCTAAGGTTTCTGCTTCTTCCAAAGGTTTCTGATCTAAGATGAATTTGTTTGTTTTAATCTGGAGGTCATCTCCTGACAAAAAACAAAACACAAGAGAATGTACTCTTTTCCCATACTTGGAACTGCAGAAAGCACCAAAGGGCAATAAAATGTCTGGGTGGTGAGGCTTTTGCCTGACTGCCAATACCTTTATAAAATAGTCAAACATAAGGCAAAACATGGAAGATTATCCCAGATTACAGGGAAGGGAGGAGAAAAGCAAGATGGGCAGGGCAGCTAGAGATATGCAGACATCACATCCAGCAGGGAAATAAAAAGGATTAAGAAGAAAGTGTTAAATAGCCAGAGTGGGAGAAGAATCATGGCATTATAGAAAGGTACCCAAAAGCCAAGGGGTGGGGCTCCAAGGAGCACTTGGCTGAAAAGGCTGGAGATCAGCCTATTACAAAAATAAGGACCAAGAAAAGAAAGAACAGGAGTGGGATGAGGGCTCCTAAGAGCAGAAAGGGGTGAGTACAGGAGATTCAGCAAGAGTGCAGGCCATGAGTGAGGAGGAGCATCAGTGAGTGAAAGACAGGAACAGTGAAGCCCTCCAGCAGGCAAGAACTATTATTGAGAGGGCTGCTAGGGAACGGGGACAGGAGAATAGACATGGCTGGAAGTGAATGACTTCTCAGAGGCCAGCCAGGATGAAAGAGACCCAGTGGCCCAAGCACCCTTACCAACACTGTTAAAGATCTTCCTTCTATAACCGACCTTAAGAAAGAAAAGTAAAAGCAGGAGGAGCAGGACCTGGCAGGTTCTCTGGAACTCACCTGTAGGGGCAACACCTGCATTCCCCTTAGGCTGAGCTGCCTGCAAATTCAGGCCCCATGGCTCCCTTGCTTCCAACCAGGAGATCAGAGCAGGTTTGGTGAATGGTCCCACTGCAGAAGAGAAGGGAATGGGATGAGAAGGGAGATGGATGACACAGAACTACTCTTCAGGACCTCTGGGCCTGAAGTCCTGGTGGGAAGGTGGGAAAAGCCAGGAAGGCAGGCAGCAGAAGAAGGGAAGGAGGCCCAGTCATTTCAAATAGCCCTGAGCAGAGATAACAGAGAATGACAGAAGTTGACCCCAAAAGGATTACTAGAATTTTCCAGAGGTGAGACTCACACGTCTACTTAATTGGCTACATCAGCCAACATTTTTTGAATGTCTAAATGGACTAGGAACTTAAAACATATTACCTTTAATCCGTTGTTTTTATTTGTTTTGAAACAGGGTCTCACTCTGTTACCCGGGCTGGAGTGCAGTGGCACGATCTTGGCTCACTGCAGCCTCGTCCTCCTGGGCTCAAGCAATTCTCCAGCCTCGGCTTCCCAAGTAGCTGGGATTACAGGCGTACGTACCACATGCTTGTATTTTTGTATTTTTTTGTAGAGACGGAGTTTCACTATGTTGCCCAGACTGGTCTCAAACTCCTCAGCTCAAGCAATCTTCCCACCTGGGCCTCCCAAAGAGCTGGGATTACAGGTGTGAGCTACCACACCCAGCCACCTTTAATCTTTACAATAATCCAGAATGGCAGGCATTATTCTCCCCATTTTTCAAAAGAGGCTACCAAGGTGCTAGACTAAGTGATCTGGTTAGCAGTTACAGAGCTAGGATCTAAAACCAGGTCAGGTCCCTTTCTATGCAGCAGCACAAAACAACCCAAGAAGGCAGAAATAAAGATAGATAGAAGCATGAGGATATCGATTACTTACCCAGGAAAGCCATGTTCCTATAATTCTCCAGCATCACATCCCTGTACAGGTTTCTCTGAGCAGAGTCCAGCCACCCCCACTCGTCCTGGGAGAAGGTCACCTCCACATCCTTGAAAGTCATAGTCTGAAAAAACACTGTGCCCTAGAGCTGGTCCACAGCTCCCAGCTTTGAGGTGGAAGGGGAGAGAAGGGGAATAAACTGGCTCTTTGTGAATGCAGGATGGACCTGGCAAAAGTGAAAGGGAAGACCATCACCCAGCAGAAGACCTCTGGGCTTGAGGGGGATAATCTGGTCTCTGGAACACAGGTCTTTGGATGCGAGGTTACTAGACAGAGAAACCCAGGATGGGGCAGCTGCACTAACCCATTAGGCAGTGATGTGGGGACATCACGAAGGACCAAATGTCCTGTGGCTCACCTGAAGCTGGGCTGTCAGGGACCTGGGTGGTGTTACCTGGTCTCCTGGGCACCCCTCTCTCTGGAAAAGGGCAGGCATCTGGGCAGCAGGAGTATCTGAAGGAGAAAAAGCCATGAGAGAGCGACTCAGCTCTGGACAGCCCACTGAGAAGCCCACTCTTCCCCCCAGTAGAGGACTCCTGGACCCATGAGCAGGTACAGAATGCTGTTAAATACCTATCTCACATGTCCTCAGTCTACTGGGGCCAGGAAAGGGGTAGTGGGACAGGGGGTGTAATGGGAGAGGAGCAAGCCACATATGGGTTATAGAACGGATGGAGAGGACAGAGAGCTAAGGGCCAGGACAGAAAGAGTTTCACATGAGAGAACAGATGTGAAAAGACAACACTACAGGAAATGCAAGAAGCATAAGGCTGGGGTCTTAAGGCCAGGCAGCAAGTACCGGATTGCCCAGCCAGGAAGTCACGTGCTTCTATTTCATAGGGAGGCTCCAGGTGGTCCCCCAGAGCAGAGCTGCTCCTGAGAGGTGAAGCAAGGGACCATATCTGTGCAGATCGCAGGGCTCCTGTACCCATCCAATGCACATCTGGGCTCTGGGCAGGGCCCGGGTCCTGGCAAGAAGAAAATGTTGTGAGAGGATCTTTCTGGGAATCAGAAAGCAAACTCAGAGAAGAGACCACACGACCAATCTCTAAACGACAAAGGCCAAGGGATAGGTAAGCCAGGTCCTTTATTACTTCCAGGCAAGAAGAACACCCAGGGAGGTACCTCCAACCACCTCAGCCTCCTTGGGCTTTAATGAGGGCCCTGGGAGAGTCCAGGTAGAGACAGACTCCAGCTCAACACAAGGAAGCACATGTTAAGTCAGTACAGCACTCTTGTTGGGCCTCATATGACACAGTGCCACCTTCCCATTATCCCTCAGCTCCCACCCCAGGCCTATAACTTAGAAATGAGAGAGAAGGAACTAGTTCTTCAGAATTAAACTCACAATGGTTCACAGTGAAGATATAGTCAAGTAATATCTACTGTCAAGTGCTCCTCTAGGCACTGATGTACAAAGTGAACTCAAAGAGGCAGGCTAGCTCCCAAGTTGTAAACTTGCTTTGAATAATAAAGAGGCAATGCTAATCATGAGAGTCAGCCATGGAACCACAGAAGAAAAAGTCTCCAGTGGAAAAAATGGCAGTGTCCATCTAAGTAGAGACCAACAAAGAGGAAGCGTTTGCCCTGAGACTTCAAATAACTCTGGTCTCTGAGGCAAGGCTGTTTCTCATATAGAAGAGGTGAGTACAGGAAACTACAATTTGAGATTTTCTGGTCCTGTGACCGAGACACTCTCTATACCGATATGGACAAATCTTAGCCTGAGGCCATTAATCATCTGATACAGAGATACACACTAAAGATGATGAACTGATCACAGTAATTTATCTCCCATTTTTTATTCTTCTAATAAAGGGAGAATTTAAAAAAAAGAAATACGGAAGCACAGCAAAACGAGTTGAAGGACAAACTTTCTCGGGCCCCGGTTTTTCACACTGTGATAATTTTGCTGAACCATAGAACGATTCTGTGACTTTACATGTATCTTAAAGTATTTCTCTTCATTTTGCAAATTTGGGGGGCTTTCTCCCAGTCCCCACTGTCTTCTAAGTACCTTTCAACCAGCTTTCTGCTCATGTGGCAATGTTTTCACGGGTTTTTTAAATTACATCTAGCTGTAAATGAGCTGAATATAACCAAGCCACGATTTTGTAACTACTGTGTACCTTATTTCCTTTTATAAATTATTAATCAGGTCCTTTTGAACATTTCATTGTTCTGGTAAAAATAACAAATGCTCTTTTAAATTTTTTAAAATAGTACCCCATGTGGTGCAAAAATATTTTCTAACAGTTTTACCCTGTGTTTATTACCATTTACTGCTGGTAGACCATGTCCTGATGTCTTACTTGATTTAATTTTTATAATAAAGTTTCAGGGACAAGTATGTCAAATTTGTTTCAGAAATCTTTTTTTCTTTTTTTTTCAGACGTAGTCTTTCATCAGGCTGGAGTGCAGTGGCATGATCTCGGCTCACTGCAACCTCCGCCTCCCAGGTTCAAGCAATTCTCCTGCCTCAGCCTCCCAAGCAGCTGG